GACAGTGCATTAAATACGACACACAAAGAAAAAATTATTTTGATATATTATATTATTAATTTTCGCGTATCTTAGAGTTCTATCATTACATGGTAGAATCTCAGCATTATGGAATTTGAAACTCACATCACAGTTTGACAAGAGAATCCGTGGAGTAGAGGAATCTTTTTTGCCTTGTGAATCTCATTTTTGGGGTTAAAATCCCAGCCTCACCAAAAATTATTTTTTTATTGTTATGTATTGTATATACGCATCGAACTCCGTAGCAGAAAGCCATTTGTATTTAAACTTGAGAATTTTCAAAATATTAAAATTGTATTTTCCCGAATATATTCTCTTCGAACATATCTAACTTTGACAATCGTGATAGAGCATACAACTATCACCGATATACCTATATAGCATTTTTATATTTCACAACCTCTACAACAGTTTTTATAGTCATTTGCATAGGGGTTCCTGGATATAAAACATATAGAAACTCTCCCATGTAAACAATGTAATTACTTTAAGCCTCTGTATTCGCTCCGGCTCTAAAATAGCTTACTCCAAACCGATAACGAAATTGCTTAGAGGCCATGAACGGTATTATTAAGACAGCACCGGAACTGAAAGCGCGAGAGGCAGGTAGAGAGAAAGAGAGCGAGAGAGAGAGAGGGAGAGAGAGAGAGATGAGGGGAAGGGAACGGGCGAGATAAGGGCGGAGGGAGCCGACCTGCCTCTTTCGGCGTTTCGCACGCCATTCGCCCTCCGAACAGCCGCTGCCAGAGGACGCGTACTTTTTGTGAGGCGCGTGTTCTCACGAAAATGGCAACTCCTCCTTAAACGTCGTTACAACTCCTGAATGCAACTTTTACAGTATTTTAAGTTGGAAAGATTGCGCTATGGTGGTTCCTTTTACAAGTTGCGACGCTTCTCGAAAATACACAAAGAAGATATTACAGGAAGCGAAATCAAATTCGCCAAAGGGCCGTGCTATTTTCGCTTCATATTTTATAAGTAAATGGAATTTTTAATGCGATCCGTGGGACGGATTATAGTCGTCGTCACTTCTTAATAGCTCTTAGCGTCGTTATTCGATTTTCACCGCATTCGGTGGCAGCGTCTGAGGTGATGTCGCGGGTGGCCAGGGTGGGGGAGGCGGGGCGAGGCGAGGCGAGGCAGGGCGAGGCGGGGCGCCGTGGAAGGAGAGCAGAGGCAGAGGTGGGGGCGGATGCGAAAGTGGCGGAAGTGGGCGCTGATGCGACTGTGTCGGTCGGTCCGGGCGCAAGAACTGCCCTGGTTGAGTAGTCCAGCAGTAGCCGTGTCGGTCGCCGAAGCGGCTGTCGTGACAATAGGAACTGAAATGGCGGTAGCCACGGCGGCCAGCGAGCCGGTGTACTGGAGCGGCGAGGCGTGACGGCGAGGACAACAGACGCGGGGAGGGCTGAGTACTGGGGAGCGGTGCGGTGCGGCGCCGGCGAGGGTGAGGGCGGGACGGGACTGTGGTGATGTGGGGCGTGGGGGGCGGGGCTGCGGCGACTGGAGTCCGCTGGGAACTGCGGTCCCAGCTACTCACGCAGCCAGCTGACGAGCTGCACGAAGGAGCACTGTCCAGGAGTTAGCGTTTTGCTTTACTTCTGTCTCCTTTCAGACCCGTATCTGCACTTTATGAATCCCTTCTTGTTATTCTTCCTCCCTTCCTCTCTCTGTCTTTGTTTTCCATCACCTTCGTAGCATTTAATTACATTTCTATTACTCTATTTTTTTCACGTCTCAGCTGCTTATATTTTTTTATTTTTATTCCATTATTACTCTCTTGATTTGTCTAGTAAACTTATCCGAACGTAATAGACGATTCCTTATCGTCTCATATCTACAGCCAATATTGAAAAAAATCTGGTATTCACTTTATTTTACGCTCTGACTTTCCTTTTCGTAAACATTTTTATTTGATGTTTACCACTCGAAGAATAAAGACATTAATGTAATGCTTCAGGAAAGAGGGCGCATTGTTCGACAGAAAAGCGTGATTTGCAAAGCGTCTCTTACTAGCAATCAAGTGACTTTGCCTGGTTCAAATGCGCAACAAATTACTTTCACGAATACGCTGTGCAGTCAGAATGCACGTTCTATAGTTCTTCTACACTAGGTGAGTTTAGCTCAAACATTTGCCATTAAACAGAGTATTGCCACAGTCTTTGAGCGACTCTGACCGCGAGGTTCTAGAGTTTGAGGGTTGATCTGGGTGGATTTTTGACACCAGCTAGATATTTATTTAATTATTTATTTATTTATTTAATCATTTATTTATTTATTTAATCATTTATTTATTTATTTATTTATTTATTTATTTATTTATTTATTTATTTATTTATTTATTTATTTATATTCTTTTGGAATGAATTATACAATAATTCATTTACAATTTACAATAAACTTACTACTAATCGTAAAATACAACTTACACTACTACAAGAGTTGTAGAGATATCTTTTTATGAAAACTCTACATTAGGTCGAGATCTAAAAATGTAATGAGAAAGGTATGGAACGGAAATTTGTTTTTGATACGGGTTCTGTGTGTTTGGCGCTTTGGGTTTTGGCAGAATATTAGAGGGGTTAGATTGGGTATATTTGGAATGTTGTGGAAGAAGTGGGTGGATAAAAAAATAATGTGGTTTCTTATCTTTCTTAGGAGGCGGCTCAGGGTATACATTTGTCACCGCAGTGCTTCTGACGTGATGATTCCTTCCCCATCCTTGTCCTCACCCGGTGCTTGCACCACTTACACTTTCTCTGGTACTTGCACTACACAACCAAACTTGCCGGGAGACCGGCCGGGAGCTTAGAGCTGGTTCCGGCTGAGACAGTTCCTTACAAGTGCGAATGAGCTGCTTGGGGAAAAACCTGCAAGCCGACAAATAGGTCGGCGTCTGATCTCATCATCTAACAGGAGAAAATAACATCCATTTCCTGCGCTTAGGAACGTTCTTTGTTTTAATATATATATATATATATATATATATATATATATATATATATATATAATAACGCAAACCTAGTAGTGGCCAGCGCTAGAAAGAATGCTCTGAACGACAAGCATAGTAATCTTAAGGGGCTGGATCTTTTAGGGCATGAGAACACAGAACTAATAGAATCGGTGCGTATATTCTCCAGAATATGGCACATATCAGCACTGGCAAAGAATACACAAAAATCCCAAATATCAAATTGCACATAAATATTTAATACGAAATCAAAAATACTGTTCAACCCCTTTAAAATTGTTATTGCTTACTCACTCTGGTTCGAGTATTTCTTCCTAATTCACTACTATATTACAACAAATACTGTGCACGGTAACTATTGCTTGGCCAGCACCGTTTAAACAACAAATATTAACTACCTATGACTGAGGAGTGCAACAAAATTATTTCCCTCTTTCTTCACAGACTCTTAGATTTTAAGCAGAACATGTTATTGACTGGCTTACTTACTACAACTATTTACAGTTAAATTTTCCTCATTAAGATTACACAAAGTTGTGGAACAAGGATTGACACAGCTTTTCTCGTAAAATTCCTAATCGTTTTACTAAATTTCTGTAATCTTGACGGGTACTCAAGGCGCAGCTTGCAAACCGTTCTGCGTTGCCGTCGTTCGACCTTGGCCCACTTCCGGCTGCACCGTAGCTTTGCTTCCTCGCATACCAGCCGTCCGCGATGTCGGTTGAAACGCTGCCTTCTTTCGCTCCTGACACCAGATCCACGTCTTCCATCTTCTTTCGTCTTGCTTCTTGACAACGTCAGGCACCTGAATCCTCGCCTCTGCTTCTCTTTTCGCGCTCTTCCTAGGCGGCACGCCGACGCGTATTTCAAAGTGTTTCCGTGTGTTTGCTAACGGCGTATCGGTTTCTGGCGTTCATTACAACACTTGTTATTCGTGTAGCTAAGTACACAGTTCTACTGAGGCATCTCAACAGCTCACAGTTCTTGCTTTCGCGGACCCTATTTTGCCTCGCATTAGCTACTCCACTACTTTCCACAGTCTTTATGCAATTTTACACTTCACAGTTCAGAAGGCTGAATCTTCCGCTATCGTACTATTCTTTCGCCTGAACAATTACTTAGCACCGTACTTTCTACAAAATTAAGACTTACAATCCTCTCATCTAACTCTCTATTCACGTCCGAACACCTTGACGCCTCTCATCAAAATGCTGCTCCCTCTAACTACTACCGCACTGGACCTCTCACCTCGGCGTCTCGTGTAGAAAGAAGTTCTTACTAGCGCTCCACCATGACGAGATGTTGACTCCTCCCTACCGGCCTTCGATCATCGCACTCGGTCTCTCGTACAGAACAAGGGGTCGATCCGTCAGCTGCTCCGGTGTTTATAAGTAGCGTGACGAAGTCACGACGAACCTATCCGCGTTTTTACGTGAACTGGAAGTTCGCCGCCGTCACGCCGCGGGCAGCAACTAACAGATTTCGCTAACAGCGCCATTTCGTTAGTAGTTTATTCGGCTTGCCTGTGCTCCGGTAATCTTCTCTTGATTCGCCGACGCTGTGTGAGTGCTGTGGGGTTTCCGAGCTTGTCTCAAACGCCACTATATCAATGATTGATATACCCTAAGGTCCCAAAGTTGCTTTAACGCAACATTTTGTTGCGCTTGACTATTGTTTTAAAACATTAAAAATGAGTTTCTTTAATCATTTCTAGTGTAATATTACAGTAAATACATAATATTATTTAAAACAAGATTATTATTTCAATGCTTGGTATTTAATTAATTAATAATTCATAAAAGAGTTATTTTTATTTTGAATGGTCGATTATAATTTTAGTTTGGTAAGACCTTAATACTTGTTCCTGTTACTTTACTGTAACGATAAATAATGTAACTTCTTAGACAAATGAAGTGTTAAAGCAAACAATTTCAATCTTTTTGATCGATATAATTTTCTATTTTTTAATTTTTTTTTTTGTCTTTTCTTTCTTCTTTTTTATTTTTTTAAGGTTTCAACTGTTAAGGTCATACACCGAACACATTTTTCCTCTTTGTAGAATAAAATATTACGAGTAAATAATTGTTTACGAACGATTCGGTCTAACATCATGCTCGCTGTCTGTAAACAGTAGATTTTAAACTTCTAAGTTCTCATTACGTAATTAAATTTAAGCACCCCATTTGGACCTTCTTTGCCAGAGACTTCTGCTAGGCCACTGAAGAGGGATCGAACTCTTTTCGCGTCTAACGCGCTATCTCATGGACTGGATATGTTCAAGACACATTTTAGAAGGGAATGAGAGTTCTGAACTAAATGTGATTTATATCTGTGGATGTTTCTGCTGTTACGCTTATGTCATTTTTACGTAATTCATTACGGAATGATATCTAGATAGTAGGAATTACTCGTATATGTGATTTTTTCAATGGCACTTCTATTACAACAACAACAACAACAACAACAATAATAATAATAATAATAATAATAATAATAATAACCCCTAAGACTCGTATAATGCACTTTGCCTATATGGATGGCATTAAACTCTACTCAGGCACGATGCGTGGCCAGGACACGAAAATAAAAACCATTGAAGAATTTTCCAGAGATATTGATATGCAGTTGGGAATTGATTAGTGCAAAATTCAAGAAATACAGTAGGGTAAACTAGCCAATGAAGCTAGATAGGTGACTGTAAATAGGGATGGTAAAAAATGGGTAGGGGATGGTAAAAAGTAATATCCGCTCTGGAAGACAATGAATTATACAAATATCTTGGTTTACTACAGGGACGTATGATAGCACATCACAAGCTGAAGGGAATGCTAAAAAATGAGCTCACGAATCGACTGAAGACAGTTTTTAGTACTTCCCTCAATTCTCGAAACCTCATAGTTGCCATCAACGCATAGGCTCTTCCCGTTGTCACATTTTCGTTAGGTATTCTCAAATGGTCCTCAACAGACCTAGAGGAAATGGAAAAACTGGCGCGAGTCCAAATGACATGTGTTTGTTGCCACCACCCATGAAGCGCTATTCAGAGGATAACACTGTCACGACGAATGGGAGCTTGAAAGCAAGTCCCATAGATTGGGACCGCATTATTCTGACAGATAGAACAATCCAGCACAATATACCTGATGTTACGCTCTGGGATAAAAGAAAGTTTGCCAAGAAAGTTTGGTTTATCGATTTTGCAGTTGTCAATATCAGCAACATTGTGACAACATCGATAAATACCGAGAGCTAGCTTATGAAGTGAGAGAACATTGGTACGTTGCAGACGTTAAAACTGTTCCAATTGTCCTATCAGCAACCGGAGTCGAACCAAAACGTCTTGGCAGATCGTTAGACGACCTAGGTGTGGAGTATCGCTGTTCAAAAGTCAGCACCATCAGTACGTGCTCATTGGTCAGGAGGGTCATAGGAGAGCAGGTGGGATTCTGAAGCTTTTAAATTTAGCTATTACCTCGTAATTTCAGGTTTGATATTTTATGTTGTATTATATTAACTAAAGAATCTTGAAAAGGTAAAATGAATCAGTTACTATGCTCTGATGTTGTATCTGTGTGGAACCTGTATAAGACCAATAATTTGTGCAAAAATGGAATAATAATAATAATAATAATAATAATAATATCTATGTAATAAACGTATAAAATATAACTTACAATATTACTACAATGCTTTAACAAAATCAAAATATATCATGCGAAACTGGTAGGCGAAACTGAACTTGGTCGAAATGACCAAGCGACAGCTGGAGATGCGTGCTTAATGTACGGCATTTAAGCGGCGATAGGCAGAGCGTGGTTATTCCAGTCGGTAGAAATTCCTGCGGAGCGAGGAAGTACGCAAAGTGAGCCCCACTCCATTTGCCGCGCACCTAGATTGGAGCGCACTTGGCCCCTGTTATCGTGCAATTGTGAGGCGCCGCCTCGGAATTTGGCATCCGTTTCGCGTGGCGTCCCGGCCATCGTGGGAGCGCCTTCGGGTGCGCGCGGAGAGAGAGCTATCAGTGTTCGGGAGAGGCGGAGAGGAGGACGAGAAGCGCCGCGGGGCAAGCAGGGATCTCGCGGGCTTGCCCTGCGGTATGCTCAGTGCGCAGTGCTGTAACCGCAGCGTGAAGCGGAGAGGGTGTCTGGCTTCTCCCTGCTCTCTCCTCTTCCTCTTATCTCCCTCTCCTCTTTCTCTCTATGTACTTTGCCATCCCCATCCTCTTCCTGTCCTCACCCCTTCCTCTCCTCTCCCCTTCCTCTCCTGACTTTTCGTCTCCCCTCTCACTCCTCTCTGATCCCTCTCCTTCACTCCTCTCCTCTCCCCCTTTTCTCCCTCTCCTTTCCTCTCGCGTCTCTCCCTCTGCTTTTCTGTCGCGTCTTTCCCTCTCCTTTCCTCTCTCTCCCCTCTCTCTGACACTGCGGCCCTGCCCGCTCCTTCTCGGTGCCGGCCGCGGCGTGACCTGCCCTGCGGGGAGCGTTCGACGCCGTTTCCCGCCCTTGCGACAAATTGCTCTCCGGAGGAAAGGTGAATTCTAAAGTTCCCGCTTGCTAATTCCTAAAAGCAACGCTGATTAGTGGAACACGAAGCGAACGTACTTCATTCTCTGCTCCACGGAGCTTGTGACTTCCTTGTTTTTGCCACTAGCGCCGGCGGATTGAGGTTTTAAAGACAAGAGTTTGAGAAGCTTTGTTGTCTAGGTATGTAAGCGAAAGCATAGGAATCTCGCGCTTTTTTGGTATGCGAGGTGAGTGAAGCATATTGGGGGAGGAAGGGCAATGCTAGAAAGCAAAGACTCTAGTGCAATGAAAGAAATGAATTGACCATCCCAGAAAACGGGAGGATCAGTCGAACAAAGAAAATACCAAGGGGTTAAAGCGAGAGAAAAAGGCGGGCGGCCGGGACAGCTGCTGGGGAGCTGAACAATCACGTAGCGGTGCCGCGGGGCCGCCCGCTCGTCCTTTGGTTTCTTGCCTCATCACGCGTGATTTATGCCCGCGATTTGTTCACGGGTTCCAGTTCCAGGCCGCGGCGTGGCGCCCCGCGCTCCCAAGGAGGCGCATGGGGTACGGGCACACAGGGCGATGGAAGGCAGGGGACAGGAATTCTGAATTCTGTGGGATCCAGTGCCTGGAGTGGGGCGGCATGTGAAAAGGGAGTTAAATAGATAGAGGGCATTGTGAGAAAAAAGAGGCGTGACCGTACGAGACGAATGAAAAAAGCGCTGGCAGTACGTGGGATGAAGTACAAGGAGATGGGAAAGGAGGTGGGGTGGATGAGGGAGGGTGTTGCGGCGTCTCGGGGCGGGGCGCGGCTGGTCCTGCGGGGCCTGTGGTGGAGAGGATGCCGGGCGCACCCGTAAGGATCGCGTGCTGCGGCCCAGTGTTCGCACAATGTAGATACCGGAACCCGGGCTTGTGAATAATGGATTAGTCGATAGGGTGAATTGGTGCGCATGTGGACGTGTGGAGGCGTGGGGATGTTTGCGCGTGTTACGGAGTAGCCGAAGATCGTTTGTGTATCAGTCGCCTCTCACGGGAACCTGTAAGCGCCCTTCTGCTCGGGGAATCAAAGTTATAGGTCCCTGGGTTACATCGCTTAGAACTTCGCTGCGGGCAGGCAGCGGAACGGCAACTAAAGCAGTCTTCGTGCGGGCCGAGAACTGAGAAAAATAATTTACGATATTTTAATTACCTCGAAACACCGCATGTGCGCATTCCAATTATTCCAGTCACGGAGTTTCCATGGAGAAATTAAAGTTCCTGCTGGCTTATTGCCTACACGCGCCTTTGTTGGGGTGGTCTCAGATTGAAATCTTCATTCAATCCCTTCGTTTGTGTAATGAACAGCAGTCGCTATTTTCAGATGCTAGGTGACAGGCCATTCGTGCTTCAAAAAGCCACAGAGCTTAATTTAGAAAGTTTGCCGGTTAAAAAAATTGAATACGATGTTATCTACATCGTGGACCTTATTAATTATACAGAAATGTTTTGTTCCTCTGTTCATTTACGTACTCTGCCATTCAATTTTTCAACATAATATTTTGAATTGTAAGAGTTCATGAGCTTTCTCTCTTAAGAGACATGAAAAGGTAGGAATTATCAGCTGGAAAAACTGTACCGAAACAGAACATACTAAGAGACTACTCTCGTCCAGACGGAAGCTAAAATGTGAACCACAGAAATAATTTAAATCGTTCCTGAGAAAGAGGTAGGTGTTACCTGTATAATTAGGTCGTGATGAAAGAGTCGCTCTGCTACACACCCTCTGTTTATTTCACTTTGAACTTTGCACTTTTATTCCGCAGGCCCTGCAAATTCGCGTCCCTTCTGTCAAGAAGCCACAAAATATGTTCAAAAATACTCGAAACGTGCTTTTATAAAAGTTGATGAAAATGGAGAAGTTAATATACTTGTTGTTTCATTACATTCTATTTTAATTCATTCCGATTACACTCTATATCATTTACTTTCATACGTTTGGATTAAATATTAAAATCAGAATTTTTAAAAAATAAAACAAAATATTTTTATTTACACTATAAAGTTTGTAATATGCAGACTTAACTGTTAAAAATAAAAGTATTATTGAGTGACGTTCACTACGTCTAGTGTTGTGCCAGTATCTCTTCCTTCCTTTCTCTTTCTATTGTTCGTGCCATATCCCACGGTTTACAGGGAAGATCCCGGAGCATGGCCACATAACATGACTCCCAGTACGAGGTGACTCATGGTCACTCACTTATCTTTATATTCGTCGTATATATAATCGTTTGGCCTACATGCTAATTCCGAATTCATGGAATAAAAAGCATGTGATAAAACGGAAATTACAAAGATCAATATTGACGTAAGCATACCAAAAATTTGATTTGCATGAAAAGATTTAACATCGAACTGTTTTTTTCCATTTATATGACGTGAGTTGAAGTAAAAATATGATAGTAATTGATGTTCTTAAGCGTGTGTAAGCATTGTAAAATACTAAACGTATGAATATTTAGTGACAATAATATTTTAACAAAATAAATATAATTTGCCTTGGGGAAAATGTACTCGTAACACTACTTTTGAATACCAGCAAATATAATCGACCATTTCCGTTGTAAGAAATCGTTCACAAAGGGGCATTTTAGGGTATACATTGCATTTTATAGCACAGCCCGTTCTCCCTACCCGACCTCCTCCTGTCGTCCTCCTGTCCCGACTCGCCCGCCATTACTGCCCGTCCTCACTGCCGGTTCTCTCTACCCTTGTGCCTCTCCCTGCCTGACGTCATAATACCAACATCATGTTGCCAACTGCAAAAGTCTTTTGAAATTTGTTTCAAAAATTCTTTTTTGTTGTTTCAAATGGTATCGTATAAAGTGTTGCTTTATTGCATCCGTACATTTTTGACAATTCACTCCTAACGTCGTTCTTTCCAAACATGTAATTAGGCAATAAAGCACAACATTATAAAGTATTTCATATTATACTATTATGTCATACCAATGTTTACTGTCTTGACCATAAAACTATCGAAATTGAACCCAAGAATATCTACGGCAAAGAGTATGTCGGGAGAAATTCGTGATATCAAAGTGAGTTACCAAACCTCCTACAGATGTTCATAAACCAAGCACAGAAAAAGTTAGCAATACTACATTGATTGAACTCTGATGTATGGTCGATTTATTATTTGTGCTTCCTGGTGTGTCAATTAACGTGGTCATTAATCCCGTTAGTGTGGTGCGTATTACATCCCGGGAGATGGCGGTATTCCTCCCCGTAAGCATAAACTCGAGTAAATGTAGGCGTAAGGGGAGAAGAGGGGACTGTGATTATGTAACAATCGCGTGCGGTCCATAACCCGTTTGTCAAGATATTGTTCCGTCACTTGCCTCTTAGCGATCAGAATAATCATGGAAAACTACCGATCAGAAAAGCTGGCTGCTAGCAATCTCCTTCAGACAGCGGCTGAATTCAATTTAACTAACTAGATAGTGTCAAAAATCCTCCACCCTGGGGATTTAGAAAGGCTGCACAAGCAAAGCATTGACTAACCGATTAACCGTAGTTTCGTTTAGACGAATGGTGGAGTAGTTATCTTCGTGCTGCGACGTCGGCGAACCGGCTTAGATGGTCCAGAATATCCTCTGATGTCACTGCAGTGCCTCTGACTGGGAGGTCCTAGGGTTTCGGCTCCGACGATGGTAGGATTTTCGACACTAACTATAAAGCCAGGCCCAATTCAGCCGTGGGCTGGAGGAGAATTCTGGCGGCCAATGGTTTATCCCATGAATACCAAGCGAATGCCAGAACAGTACTCGAACAAACAGGACACGAACCACTCGCGATCTTTCCGTCCTCGTCCTCGTCTTTGTATTATCCTCGCCCGTTTTTACACTTACTTGCACTTACATGCGCGACACAACCACGCCCGTCGGGAGACCAGTCGGAACCTTCAAGTTTGTCCCGGCTGGGATGGTGCCTCGCTGTCGGGAGATACCAGATTGAGCCGACGTGTAGCCCGACGCTGGATATCTTCATTCAGTGGGGGAAGATTACCGCCAGGTCCCGAGATGAAAACCTGCACTACACCCACGGGACTAACGTTTTTAAGCGGTTGACGAGTTTGGAAACAACATGAAATAAGTAAATAAATAAAAGAAGAAGATGGTGAGAATGGAGGGGCAAGCCTCGGCGTGGCGGTCAGCGCCACCTGTTGGCGCGGATGTGCTTGGGCAGTTGAGAGCGAGCCTCCTATGTGTGAGACGGCCCGCTTCAAAGCTTGTTCCGACGTCGTCTGAATATTTGAAAAAACTTAACTTGCTTCTGAAACGCGTGCACTAGGGCAGAAACACATTCATTTGGAATTTAAACGGCCCAGTTTTATACATCAGTTAGCCTGGTGTGTGATTTAACATGCATCTTTTGTGAAACCAGAAAAAAGGATGTACTTGATATGTTTATTCAATACCGTCTTAGCAAATGGATAAACAAGCGTTGTGATATTCCACTTTTCTTAGAAGATGCAAACAAACTGTTCACTTCATGTAGAGGTAAATCAAATTATTTTAAAATCAATTATACTTGAATAAACGTTTATTCCGTATTTTGTTATCTTTCATATGATTGTATGCTTATCGATTGAAGTTAGTGAATATTTTATTAAAAAAATGAAAATATTTTTTTCTTTTGAACTATTTATTGCAGTTTTTGTCGTGTGTGTAGCCCCCACCCTGTTTATAAAAGGTACGTTAACCCTAAGAGATACCTCTGCATTTCTTCGAATATAAGACTGACCGATTAATATAAATACGAGTCTAACTCTTTCATCAAAGAAGGCACCACTGATATTGTGTATCAATCTCTAACCAACGAACTTTAAAATCAATTTAAGACGCATACATACACATTTATACAGGTAGTTCACTCTCCCAGTTTGGATCCGACATCACAGCCAAAATTAACGAAAATATTCTTTGTACTCGGTTACATAACTCCTACTCAATATTTTACTCTGTGACGCTTAAGCTATCTTTGTTGTTATCTATTGGATATTCTTAATTATCTAAGTAATTTAAATAACAATGAAGCAATTATAATTGGCATCATCAATATCTACAATGATTTGTCATTATAAATATACATAATTTTTTTCGTGGATCATGGATCTCCCATACCATAAAGGAATTCAAGGTAACAACCTGGGTAATATCCTGTAGCTTCATTATGCGCACGTTTTGTTGAACTCTCTGTTTGCTTGTAGTGGTAGGAGTAGAGGTAAGGGCAAATTGCTGTTTTGTTAGCAATGCAGAAAAATCAAATCTGCAGTTCGTTTACCGTTGCAAATAAGTTTTCTATAACTCGGAAACGAAAATGTCTAGTTTTTCAAATGTTGTTAATCTCACACTTTTGTTTTAATTTTTATTTTTCTTTAAATTTTACTTCAACTATTTATAGTTAAAATGATGGGAAGGGATTTGAGAAATCAAGAATACATGCGCATATAACCTTCTCCCCAATACGTCACATACAATTTATACTGTTTTTGACTAAATAAATCTAAATCTAAACTTCCTCTTCAAGAAAAAACAATTTCACAAAAGGACCCCATAGACGTCCTAAGTTCCTCTGGAACACTGGTTCCTCTGGAATAATTTTCCT